TAATGACTATGATAATATGGCCAAGATCATAGAACATAGAATAATAAGGCTGGAAGGGACCTTGGAGGGCTTCTAGTCCAACCCCCCAGGAGATCCTATACTGTTCTGGATAAATGGCTGTCCAGCCTCTTCTTGAAAACCTCCAGAGATGAAGCTCCCACAACTTCTGGAGTTAAGCCATTCCACATATTAATTGTGGGGATTAATCACAAAGGACATTTCACTGAGGAATAAGCAGAAGGCGTTCCAGGAGTGTTATGTGGCCCAACACCATTGCTACCAAGATTTCATGGTTTTGATTTTTAGGTTCTTGTTGGATTTATCTTAATGTTATTATGACATAGGCTCCAAGTCAACGCAAATAAAATATTCCCCACCATTAAGGGAGAGAGAGGAAAAAATGGCTGCCAGACTGAGCAGATTTGAGTCAACACGGATCTCAACCTTGGGAAAATGGCGGTTTTTCACTGAAAATATTCTCTGAAACGTCCCATTAGTTATTGAAATCATCATCATTTAACAACCCCATAATCTCTTGCAAGGTGGCGTCTGTCTGGGCAACTGAATGGAGCTAGCAAAGTGTTTTACTGGCCGGATGCCACGCCTGTCGCCAATGAGGAGTTTTGTTCGGCAGATAAATTCTCACTGTGCCCAGAGAGAGAAATATCTGCCTCTACCTAGGATCGAACCCACCGCCTCCTGATGGTGAGAGCTCCACCTACTACAGGCCACCGCACCGCTCTCAATTAGTCACTGAAATAGTTTCGCTGAAAACTGTTTACCTCCCGGAAGAAACTCCATAATCAAGTAAAGGTTGCGTTTGTCCTGAAAACTGTAGAACATCTTCACGACCCAGGCACCATCGGCTTCAACAAGGATGTCCCTTTCTGCTCGGATGTGAGCCACCTGCAAGAGGAACACGGCCAATCAGATCAAGGTTGAAGGCCTAAAAAGGAGTTTGCCTACCAAACACATTTGTACATAAAACAGTTTTCAGGGCAATGATACTTTTATTGCTGTCAGGTGTAAAGCAGCCTTTCCTAACTCGCTGGCACTCAGTACAGGTTGAACTACAACCCTCATCGGATTGTCCCCTACACTCCAAAGATGGAGATATCTGTTTCCGCCGGTGGAAGAGAATATTTTTAGCTCAGGGTTGAACTGTGAGGTCCTTGGTGCTCTCCGAGTTGGGTTGTTTTCGTGGAAACAATTCATTGAAGGGCAAACGCCACGCCCTTCTAGCACTGATGATGTTCTAGTTGGGTCATGAAACATCTGCAAGGAAACCACCAAGCTCAGAGAGCACCAAGTCCTCCTCCTTCTCCTCCTCCTCCTTCACTCCCTTCTAGCACTGATGATGTTCCCTAGTTGNGAAGCCATGATGTTCTTCTTCTGCCTGGACCTCATTTGCCTTCAATCTTTCTGGAGGATTAAGTGAAGGATGCTGTATTTTTCTGGGTGTCGCATTACATGTCTGAAACATTCTAACTTTCGCTTTTTAATTGTTTTGATGATTTCCCTTGGCTTTCCCAGGCAGCTTATCACCTCCTCATTTCTGATTTTAGGCAAAGTCTGGGGCTTGGAGAATACCTGAGAGTCAACACCTTCAGGATTGTTGGGGTGGGGAATTCGTCCTCAAAGTCTTCCCAGGGCAGCCATGGAGGGGCTGTGGGCTGACTGGGGCTCCTCTGGGGCTCAGCCCCTCCTCTTGGGGACCCTCTGATCTGGTTCCTATATAAGGAAAAATCAGTCAAAGCTCATCTCCTCTGGCCCTCCAGCTCCAAGGGAGGAGAGTGAGACAGGAAAGGGGCTAGTAGCAGGAAGTGGGGCACCCTGGGAAAATGGGGGATTTCTGTCCAGGAAGAACTGGAGGGGAGGGGGAGAAAGAGAGGGTGAGCTAGAAAAAGATGAGTGGAGGCCCTCAAGGATAAAGACTTCTTGGTGATGATGAGCTGGAGGTATGAGAGAGACAAGAGGAAGGAAACACCGGGGAGAGAAGGGATGACCCCTTCCTAGAAATTCCTCTCTCTCAGGGAGGACCTGTTTATATGGAAGGGCAGTGCAAACTTTTCTTTGGTTGCTTCCTTCCCTACAGGGTTGCTATGGGCAGAAGACTGAGCTAAGGGAAGGAGAGAAAAGACCTCTGATGGCTTCCCCAAATGTCTATTCAGATAAGGTGGAAGGAGCAGCTCTGGAGATTTCAGAAGGGCCCTCAGAAGAACAAGCGGATGAGCATCTGGCTGGAGAGGAAATGGGAGAGACGCCGCTCTAGCTGGAGGGCTCACAGACTCAGCCAGAAGCCCAGGATGGAGAAGGATTGAAGCTGCAGCTGATCAGAAAGGATGAGAAGAACCTGTTAAGTAGGACTGAACGGAANATGAGAGCTAAATAGCTTGAAATAGATCTATACTAGTCTCCCTTTATTTATTTATCAGCACAAATGTGTGTGTGTGTGTGTGTGTGTGTGTGTGTGTATTTAGTGTCACAAATATATACATACAGTATATATTAAAGGAAAGGAGAGGATGGAAATCATAATGCAAACGATATATATTTTCTTGGATAAAAGTTTGCAGCAGCTAATTGCAAAAACCACAAACAGCCTTGGGAATTTCATTTCAACTTGCTTTATTTTCATTTTATTTTTTTTTAAGTTGTGCACAACTTTCTCTTTGCTTTAACAACACATTTCCTCTCCTGCATGTAACTGGATCTGCAAAGGTGTATAATTTGGGCTAGGTAAATATCATCAGCCAGCATTAGTAAATTGCTCAAGGACATATTTTTATATGCAATGTGAAGAGCACTATACTGCACATTGATAGAAAGAGAAACGGTTTAAATTCAGTGTAAGACTTTGTTAGAAGAGACGAACGTTTTAAATAAAATATGCTTGTTTACAATATTGTAGCTTCGGGGAGAATGAGAGCCGCAGTGTGCTAATTCTGATAAAACATTGCCCTCTTCTGGTTTTTACTGTTTTTCACTCTGTCGTTCGTCTTTCCTCTTGCATTCTGTTAATCTTCCTAATATGATTTTCTACTGACATATGCAGTCATTTTCTTGGATGCAGAGATAAATTGGCATCCACCATGGAAATAGTTTTTTTGCTTTAACTTGGCACCAAGCTGTGGGCATTTTTTTTTAAAATGTGATGTTGATTATTGTGAAGTTTTTTTTTTTTTAAGGCTCTCTGAGTGAGCTTGGTTGTTTTCTTGTAGGCTTTTCTTGTTACCCAACTGGGTAACATCATCAGTTCTAAAAGGAGGTGGGGTGTGCAGGGAGGAGGAGGAAGGCGGATTGCACTAAACAACATCAATAGAAGAGAATGTTTTTTTTTTTAAATTATTTATTACTTTGTCAAACATGTACAGCATAGCAAGTATAAATATAAACATGGACACGAACACAGGAAACGGGTATATGTAAATGGGGACAGTAGGACAGTGATGGAAGGCACGCTGGTGGGCTTATGCTTCCCCCCTTTATGAACCTCTTAGCAATGGGGCAGAGGTGGGTTCCTACCAGTTCGCACCTATTCGGTAGAACCGGTTCGTCAAATCTACCGAACTGTTTAGAAGAGGTTCCACCAGTGGACCCNGCCTGCAGTACTGCACCCTAACCACTGCGCCACCTTGGCTCTTACTATTACTATTAGTCTTCTCATCGTTCCTATCACCCAACTCCTCTACAGACTGAGTGACTATAACTTGCTTGCATTCTTACAGTTTATATTGTTTCTTAATATGATTTGATTGCTTATTTGTGCCCTATGGCTGTCATTAACTGGTGTACCTTAGGATTCTTGACAAATGTATCTTGTCTTTTTATGCACACTGAGAGCATCTGCACCAAAGACACATTCCTTGTGTGTCCATTCACACTTGGCCAAGAAAGAATTCTATTTTATTCTGTTCTGTTTCTCTTCTGTTCTACTTCTATTCTATATTGCTTTATTTGTTTACTAGTATGATTTGTTAGCTTATTAGTAAGCTATTAGTAAGCTTAGTGACTATCACTAAGTGTAATAAAAGTGTCACTTTTTATTCTTGATGAATGTATCTTTTTCTCCTTCTGTACACTGAGAGCATAGGCACCAAAGACAAGTTCTTTGTGTGTCCAATCACACTTGGACAATAGAGAATTATTCTATTCTATTCCATTCCATTCCACTCATTTTTCTTCTTTTTTCTATTCTATCCTATTCTATCCTATTCTTATTTTATTCTTATTTTATTCTAATTCTTATTCTATTCTTCTAGTCTAATCTTATTCCTTATTCTATTCTATTCTGTTGTATTATTCTTATTCTATTTGATTCGATTATTCTATTCTTATTCTATTCCATTCCATTCCACTCCACTCATTTTTTCCTTCTTTTTTCTATTCTATTCTATTCTATTCTATTCTATCCTATTCTATTCTATTCTAATTCTATTCTAATTCATATTCTGTTCTTCTAGTCTAGCCTTACTCCTTATTCTATTCTATTCTATTATTCTTGTTCTATTCTATTCCATTCCACTCATTTTTTCTTTTTTTCTTCTTTTTTCTATTCTACCCTACCCTATCCTATTCTATTCTTATTTTATTCTAATTCTTATTCTATTCTTCTAGTCTAGTCTTATTCCTTATTCTATTTATTCTATTCTATTATTCTATTCTTATTTCATTCCATTTCACTCACTTGGCCAATAAAGATTTCTATTCTGTTCTGTTCTGTTCTGTTCTGTTCTATTCTATTCTATTCTATTCTATTCTATTCTATTCTATTCTATTCTATTCTATTCTANCTCCTCCTCTTCTCCTCCTCCTCTTTCTCCTCCTCCTCTTTCTCCTTCTCTCCTCCTCTGAAAAACAGTCCAGTTGCCTTTTGAAAAAGCACCTTTGAGACAACCATGACCCCGATGACTGAGAACCTTCACAAGCTTCCTGCCGATAACTTTTCTTCAACTTCCTCTAATGGAAAACAGGCACTTTGTTTTGGTAAGCTGATAGGTATGACTTGAAACAGAATATTTCTGTAGGAAGACCATCTACCTCCAGAGCTTCATAAAGTTAAGCTCCACTTCTGATGGAAATGGAACATCTGAAATGTTTTTCCCTTGGTGTGACAAGCTTTTCACAAATTGTTTAAAGGGATGGCAGTTGTGTGCCTGCTCATTAGTCTTTGACTGTTCACTTCTTGAAGCAATTATTCAACTGATCAATTATGCTCCAGTCAAGTTAAATGCATGGCTTAAAAGCTAAGAGGTTTTGCCTTTAACCAGGTTTGCTTCGTAAGTGATTCATTTGTTACAGGATCTCTCCCCATCATCCACCCCTCTCCCCCACCTCCAATGCGCATACACACACACCTTTTTTCCCCTCTTTGAGTGTAGAGAAATAACACTTCCTATTCTGAGGGATATTAGCCTCTGATTCTAGTTGCATTTCTCTTTTAATTTGTTTGTTATTCAAACAAATGAGATTGTTTTACCCTATTGCGTTGTGTATTGTACCTTATAAGATTTGAGTGCTGGTTGATGATTTGATTACGGTAAGCGCAAACAAAGATGAATGCTTTAGGAGGGCTGGAGCGACTTCATACTGCGTGGCCTGCTTAGGCAGATGCAATTCATTTCAAATGTAATAAGTACGGTCCATCCAAATAAATTAAAACAGTGTTAATGCGAGAGGAGGTGCCTTTTTTTTGTTTTGTTTTTTGCTACAGACAATGTGGTGAGAGGTAGAAGAGAATTTTGCCAGCAAAGCTAAGGTGTTAATTTAAGAGAAAGCCGGTATATTAGAGAGGTGTTAGGCAGCCATTGTTTGAAATGGAAAGCTATTGTTCTGACCCAGCTCCCCAAACACAAAAAACCCTCGGATGTGAATGCGAAAGATTCCTTTATTAGGAATGCCGGCAG